TAACAAGATTGAACAGGTGCATCAGCTCTTGGTCCAAAGTAAATACTTTCACTTTTAACATTGCGCCTTCGTTTATATGCAGCAACCAAGAGCTCCATAAAAATTGAAGGTGTCAAGGATTTTACTTTTAGAGAAATGGCCACGGCTACAAACAACTTTAACAGCTCTGCTCAAGTTGGACAAGGAGGTTATGGAAATGTTTATAAAGGCATCCTGGCTGATGGAACCGTTGTGGCCATAAAACGTGCACAAGAGGGATCATTACAGGGCGAGAAGGAGTTTCTAACAGAAATAGAATTATTGTCACCCCTACATCATAGGAATCTCGTGTCCTTAGTCGGGTATTGTGATGAAGAAGGGGAACAGGTACATTTGCTTATCCTGAATTCTGCTACACTTTATCTCCTCTTGTTGCTCTCTTTTGTTATGCCGGACCAACAATTTTACTTGGGAAAAGCTTGACGTGTGTTATTTTTGTGCGTGCAGATGTTGGTTTATGAGTTTATGTCCAATGGAACTCTAAGGGATCACCTTTCTGGTAAACCTAATACTCTTGTTTTACTGTCTTTGGTTCTTACTTCATCTCTGTCTGAATTGGTAGAGTAATTTACCGCTCCTAAATGTTTGACTAAGAATTTACAATAGGGATTTCGGTTACATGCCATTCGACAAGCTTTATAATTGATGCGTGTCTCAGCAGCTAGGTCTAAAGAACCACTGGGTTTTGAGATGAGATTAAGAATTGCTCTGGGATCAGCCAAGGGCATCCTATACCTCCATACAGAAGCCAACCCTCCGATATTTCATCGAGATATCAAGGCCACCAATATATTATTGGACTCTAAGTTTATTGCAAAGGTTGCTGATTTTGGCCTTTCCCGTCTTGCCCCGGTTCCAGATTTTGAAGGGACTGTGCCTGCTCATGTATCCACAGTAGTGAAGGGGACACCGGTAAGACTCATAAGCATTGTACTTACCTAACTAATAGCTACGCAGGTTAAAAACTCTCTTATTATTTGAATTGATTTTTCAGGGTTACCTTGATCCGGAGTACTTCTTAACTCATAAGCTAACGGATAAGAGCGATGTTTATAGCCTCGGTGTTGTGTTTTTGGAGCTCTTAACAGGCATGCAGCCAATCTCACATGGAAAAAACATTGTTCGAGAGGTAATTACTCGAACCTAATTACAGACTCTGTGTTTTGGATAACACTATATATGTAGACCATCTTCTATGCTTTGCATGTAAGGATATAACATCTTAGTCAAGACCACTTATGGTTGACGCTAAATAATCCCTGTGATCGACTAGATGCACCAGTTTAGTGTTATTTACAAGTTTTCTTGCACTTCAGGTAAACATTGCATTTCAATCCGGTATGATCTTCTCAGTTATTGATGGAAGAATGGGGTCTTATCCTTCCGAGTGTGTGGAAAAGTTCTTGAGTTTGGCTCTCAAGTGTTGCAAAGAGGAGACAGACGCGAGACCCTCAATGGCGGAGGTTGTTCGAGAACTCGAGAACATATGGTTTATGATGCCGGAGTCTGACAGCAGAACATCGGAATCAGTGACGAGCAGTAGTGGTGGAAAGGTAGTGACTCCTCCACCCTCATACAATGCAGCGAGGCATCCTTACGTCTCTATAGACGTCTCTGGCAGTGACCTTGTTAGCGGAGTCGTGCCGACAATTAAACCAAGATAGGAACCGTAGAGAGAACTGTAGCCACATTTGATTTGGATCTTTGTAAGATTGGGGAGGTAGAGGAGTGCATTTTTTTATCCTTTTGCTGTAAAACTAGTATACTTGAACATTCAAAACAGTTGCATACTTGCATACAAGAAACTAAAATCTTTTGCCATAGATCAGATAATTCAGGAATGTTTTCTTCCAGTTTGTTCAACTTGAGTATGCAAATACGATTAACGTTTTGAGTTCGCAAGGGCAGGAGGGATGAGGAGAAACGGAGAAGGAAGGGCGGCGCTACAGGAGGCAGCTGATTAGGAGGCCGTGGTTGGTGGCCAGTTACAGTGAACAGTTACAAGAAGATTTTTAGAAGAAATGATAGCAATTTTATTAAGAGAATTAAGAGATATTTCAATCTTCGTAAAGGTCTTTATGAATCAAATTCAGAGGATCTCGAATATTAAAATAAAAACTTCAGAATCTGAATACAAGATTAACTTGGTCAATCTATGTGTCACCATTCTAGTGAATTAGCGGACTTGACAAGCACAAGAAGCACCAATTGACCTTAACCAAGCTTTGATGTCCATAGCCAAGTGAATGCCGTCTCTAGCAACTTTTTTAAATTTCAATCATATCAGTGCTCGTCGTGTGGGAAATTTTTAATCGAAAAACCCTCCAACATAGTTATCGGCTTCGTTGCGGAAAAACCACACCAACACTCTCATTATATAACACTGGTACACCGTCATGTTGGTGTCCCGTGCCAACGAAGAAAAGACACGTGTAAGTTTTTGTCCACATGTTATTGTTTTATTGGCATGAGACGCTAAAGTAAATTGTCACCCATTACAAAGAAGGCTTGGAGTGCAAGGCAAGTAGCGTACAACATATAAATTCCTACAATAATAGTCAACCTATACAAGAAAGGAAAGAACGTCGTTTAATAACTTGAGATTTTCCTAATCCAAATGGCGTGAGGATTTCCCATTGAATTTGAGGCGGCTGGAAAAATTTTAGTAATGATAAGAGGATTCCTAGCTAGTGGAGAAAAGAGTTGGCATCGATCAAACACATAAATATCCATTCCCTCTCGTTTCTATTTCACACTAAGACGTTCACATCCAAACCCTAATTCTGTAACACAGGCATGACGCAACAACCGTCCAAGCTCCGATGGGGAGAGCTCAAAGACGAAGACGGCGAGGAGGACCTGGCATTCCTTCTGCCGCCGAAGCAGGTGATTGGGCCCGACAAGAACGGCATCAAGAAGGTGATTGAGTAAAAGATCAAGAAGGACGGCACTAAGGTCAAGATCACAACCAATATTCAGGTTCGGAAAACCGTCGTCAATAAGCGGGTCGTGGACCGCCGCTCGTGGGCAAAGTTTGGTGACGCCGCGCCGTGAATAAAGGTGCCGGTGACCAAGGGGTGGTAGACGACAGGCTCACTATGGTCTCCACGGAAGAGATCGTCCTCGAGCGCCCTAGGGCTCCAGGTATGTCTTGCTCTTCCTCTTTTAGGGTTTTTGGATTGTTTTGTTTTTTTTTATTTTCACATTATCTGAAATTTATTAGGGAGCTCTGCATGTGTTAAAAATAAAAAAAAATAAAAAAAAGGTTAGTGACTTCATCACGGTAGTCCACTGTTTTGGAAGCGAAAAGACGGCTCTACATGTGTTTTGACTTGCATGAATTTTTTTATTAGCGAATCACATATATAATTTAGGTTTTTATAAAGTGGTTAGAAATGTTGATTAAGAAATTGTTGAATTGTCGTCTCAACTTAAAACAAATTTTAATTTATCAGTTCAAACTAAAGAAAATCATTACTTTAAATTTCAAAATCCTTAACGTGTCACTTAACACTGTCTCCATTCAAAATTCAATTAGAAGTTTAGTATGTAATTTGTTCTATAATTTAGTATAAAAATTTAAACAAAAAAAAAGAAAAAAAGAAGAAACATTACCTAATTATTCAGAATCTTTTTATGTGTCATATAACACGTATGAATGGGTTGTATGTTTACTTTATTTTTTAAAATTTTCTTTCTGAAGTTGTCTTTGTCTTTTAACTTTTTACTTCTCAAGTCGAATTAGATTATTATTGACACTCCATTTTAACAGGTTGGAAAACTGCAGGAGGAGATGCTTTGGGTGATGGACTTGGAAAAGGAGGGGAGATCAAACTTTGTAGGACTTGTGGTAAGAAGGGTGACCACTGGACTGCCCATTGCCCTAACAAGGATTTAGCCCCACAGGACCCCGAACCGTTTACTGATCATAAGCGTCCTACGTCCGGACATGGCAAGTATGTGCCTCCTAACAAAAATGCAAGTGGTGACATGAGACGAAGGAACGATGACAACTCGGTTCGCGTTTCCAACCTTTCGGAGGACACGCAGGAGGCCGACTTGCACGAACTTATCCGGCCTTTCGGCCCCGTGACCCGTGCTCACGTTATCCGGGACAAGATTATTCCGTTAGCAGAGGATTTGGGTTTGTCAAGTTTGCGAGTAGGGATGACGCCCGGAGAGCAATCAACAAACTTGATGGCTACGGTGATGACAATCTCATCCTTAGGGTTGAATGGGCCCCACCCAAAACAAAACAGAGCCTTCCATCCTAAAATTGTATCACGCTCTCACTCACTAATACGCGAATTAATCACATTTAGGGTTCTATATCTCATAGATTGGTCGAGTTAACTTTGTCTTTTTTAATCCTTAATCATTTTGGTTTAAAGAATTTTCGAATATTATTCGCGATGTTCTCTTAGTGATTGTAATCCTCTCTATATTCAAGAAATTTGCTACTTTTTAACTTTCTATATTCAAGTTAGCTTTATTTTTTATTATCTTTATTCGTGATCATATTACATTTCTAAAAAATAAATTTACATATGTAACTCACAACATTGCTACAGACACTTTAATTTAGTTAAAAGAAAAAAAAATAGGACTAAAATATCATGCAAGAATGAGTTTAAGGAATAAAAAACAAAAACCATCTGTTTAAATTATTTTTCGTAGACCATATAATGTGACGTCTTATCCAACTGTCACATTATATGATCTTTAAAAATAATGATCTGTAACATTTTTCTTTCTGCAATGAACCCACACGTTGTCTTCGAATTAGATTCAAAGCCCAAATAAGATGAGTCGGGTCCAACAAGCAACCCAAAACATTGATTTGGGCTAAAATCCACCGACCCCAGCCGACCCAAGCTTCACATGACGCAAGCCCATACGCACACGCTTGAACATCGCCTTAGGGCTTCCGATTTCAGAGACTATAAATACAAACACCAAACCGCATTTCGTCTTCAACCTCTCACTCCATCTTTCCCATCCAGAAAAACTAGGGTTTTGAGAACCAGCCGCCGCCGCCATGGGGAGAAGGCCCGCCAGATGCTACCGCCAGATCAAGAACAAGCCCTACCCAAAATCCCGCTTCTGCCGCGGTGTGCCCGATCCGAAGATCCGAATCTATGACGTCGGCATGAAGAAGAAGGGCGTCGACGAGTTTCCCTTCTGCATCCACCTCGTCTCCTGGGAGAAGGAAAACGTTTCCAGCGAGGCTCTCGAGGCGGCGCGAATTGCATGCAACAAGTACATGACCAAGTTCGCTGGCAAGGATACCTTCCACCTGAGAGTTAGGGTTCACCCCTTCCATGTCCTCCGAATCAACAAGATGCTTTCGTGCGCCGGAGCCGATAGGCTTCAGACTGGTATGCGCGGAGCTTTCGGGAAGCCTCTCGGTACTTGCGCTAGGGTTGCTATTGGGCAGGTGCTGCTCTCTGTGCGTTGCAAGGAAAGCAACAAGAGCCACGCCGCCGAGGCCCTCCGCCGTGCCAAGTTCAAGTTTCCCGGCCGCCAAAAGATCATTGAGAGCAGGAAATGGTATGATTTCTCACTTCTGAGTGTTTTTTGGTCTTTTTGATTTTTGGGTTTTGATCTCTGTAACTTAAAATCTAAAACCCATAATCTAAATTTTGATTTGTGGATTGTTGTTCTTTCTCTTGTGGTTTGTAGGATTCAATCTTTTGCTTGTCATAAGTAGATTACAGTTAAACCATATTTTGCTGCAATATTGGCATTTAACATGTTTTTGTTGGAATATTGTCACTTTAATTTGTTAAATTTGGATTGTGAACTCTAAAACTCATAACCCAGAACCCAAAAGTTTGTTTTGGATTGTTTTGTATAATGGTTTCTCTAGAATTAGGCCTTATTGTGCTTCAAATTGGTGTGGTTTTATTCGTGGCATGATAGCTAATGTGTTTCGAATCCGAGTAGTTTGATTACTAAAAGTGATCATGAATTCAAACTGTGATGCTTTCATGACTTCAGTAGAGGATTTCGTGTAGTTTCCGTTGATGAAATGTGTAGAGTTGAACCTTATGCTGCAACTTCGTTACTTTTTTCAGGGGATTCACCAAGTTCAACAGAACTGACTATGTGAGGTTGAAGTCTGAGGGTCGTATCATACCCGATGGTGTCAATGCCAAGGTTTGTCCATTTATTCCAAGTTAGCACGTTGTGTTTTACTGTTACTTCCTCGAATTGATTCTGGTTTTATCGTATTTGTTCGTACAAATTAGTGATTCAGTTGTTGTTTTTGCAGCTTTTGGGATGCCATGGATCTTTGGCATTGCGTCGCCCTGGTGGAGCATTCATTGATGCTGCTGTGAACTGATTTCGCGTAATCCAACTTCCTCTAGGAATTGTATTCGTGTAATCCAAACTTCGTTTCTGTTCTGATTTCTGTTTACTAGATTACGTGTCTTGAACTAGTTTTTGGAGATGTTATCCTTAAGCATTTGTTTAAGTTATAATTTTGGGCAAACTTCTATCGGAGTTGAATTTCATATTTTGAGTAATGCCATTTGGTTAGATTCAATGTTATAAGAATGGTGTCTTTTTAACAATTTGTCTCGAGAGATCGTTATTGCATAAGTAACGTTGACTGACACTTAATTAATAATTTAATCATTTGTAATCACATCATTTATTTTTTAAATTTGTTATTTCTAGCATTACCATTGTTACGTATCCTTTGAGATTTGATAGCTTTTTTGCGCTCACCATTGGATGTTGGTTACCGTGTAGCCGATCGATTGACTGAACACGAAGATTATTTTAATGGATAATATTTGCGTTTTTTTTCTTACAAGTAACATATTTGACCGTTTTCATAATTGGACCCCGTCAATTTCTTTTCCGTAGTGGTATACGATTTTGTAATACCACCCGATGTTTATGAAATGAAATCTCAAGTCTAAGTTGACCAAAAGAAAGAAATTATGAACGAATTCTTGTCATTGAGCTAATCCACGTGTTATAATATCAAGCATATAACGGATCAATTTTTATGATTTCTATCACTTGATATGATTCTGAAAATAAGTTTTTTTGAATGAAATAAGACTCTTTCTGCAGACATGGAATGTCTTCTTGCTTCTACTTTTCAATTTTGCTTCTGAATCCTGACTGAACCGAGGTACGAACTTGGATCATAACAAGTTGTAGCCTCGTCCAACAATTCTCTCTTCAGAATCCCGAGGTACGAAGAGTTCGTACCTCGGGTTCTGCCAGGCTTGATGCATGTGTTTTTAACTGAAGGAACTGTGGTGTTATTTTTATAGGCTTAATTGTCAGTTGTTCTAAAAGACTATCGGTTTCATATCGAGAAGCCCCAAAATGTTTTGCTGCTGCTCCGCCAAAGCTTGAGCGGAATCACTTTCCACTTCCACAGCAGCCGCCACCAAACCACCCACCGTCTGCAGCCCGCAACGCACTTGGCTGCACAGGCTGCAACAAAGTGTTTATTTGGCTGCATGCCAATCAGAAAAACTAAAACCAATCAAGAGAAACAATCAATGGTTGAGACTCGAGAGCTGTTACGTACCAAAAAAGTTCCTAAATTTTGAGGGCTTGCTCCAAGTTTCGCCGTCAACTACAGTGGTTAATGAATCACATGATTGGCTGCATAGTGGGCGAATCTGCAATGTTCAAATAAATAGTTTTCGTTTTGTTGACTTGCTATGTGAGTCACACGACACACATTAGGATGCAGAGTTTTGATGAAAATGTAGTAAAGAACGCAGAACTTTACCTCACACGCTTTCCACCGTTTCGCTCAATATCCAACTCAACTCCTTTCCTCTTTCGTGCTTCAGTTCAACAGGATACTCCTAAATTCAAACACGAAGAAATTATTATCTTAGAAACAAGCAAATGGAACTTAACATAACGGAGATTGGAAAATTCAATTACAGCTCGTCTGCAGTGCCCAACGTAAGAAATATTGGCCAACCACTTGATGTGGTAACAAAATTTTCTGGAATTCCAACGAGCACAAGCATGACGACAGTGCTACGAGGAACGCATGCATGCACTCTTCAACTGCTTTGTCCGTATGCAAACATATCTGCACCCACTCGAAGATGACAGTGACATAGAGAGAAGATGAAAAGGCATGCCTCTCGCATTGAAACCTTAGCAATATTAGAAGTAAAAAAAAAAAAAAAAAACATGATTCCAGGGGTTACCTCTCCAATTAAAGGAGAAATATATTCATACAATACGGCAAGAGCACCATTCAAGGACAACTAGTTCCAGAGTTTCGCTTTCTGCATCGATGAAGCCAACAGATACGTTAGTCCCATCACGTTGTCCTAGCTGATATCGTAATTGAATTGCACTGCTAAACATTTACGGATAAGTAGAATGTGCGATATTTACAAAAGCCTCGAGGGATGATTCTTTTTCCCTTTCCCTTTATCACATTTTATCATGGCGATCAAATTCTGAAATAGGGAACAGAATTTAGCAGGCTTGTCCACTCATTAGGTGATAGTTTAGCCAGGGAATGAATAAACAGGGGATCTAGAATTTGACAAGGAAAGAAGCCAATATGTTTTCGAGTCGCTGAATGCAAAGTATCAAAGTCCTTCATACCTTCACGTGTTTTCTCCCACTTCCGTTCAACATCAAATTTCCAAAACACCTATTTCTTGTCGTCGCTATTTATGTCGGTGTCAACTCAAGCGAATTCCTTTTTCATACCTGATCTCAACATCGCACTCCTAAATTCAAACATTAAGCTATATGAATTTATACAGTGAGATATCAGAAAACACGCAAACTGATCTTGTAGCTACAATGGAAATTAACGAACTAGCACAACTTCTTTAAATAAATACCACTTTATCCATCACAAAATTATTATGAGAAAACCATCATCCATTACCTTTTCCCATGCAGAACTCATATTCACCACAGATAACCAGAGGGAAAACTCGACGGTTTCTGATTGACTTAGGTGGCCGTGAGATAAAGACCACCAATAAGTCACTACCAGCTCGTTGTCCGGTAATCTCAAGAACCAGATTTTTTTCAAAGAAAGTCATGTCGAAGAGTAGCATAGTTGAATTCGAAATGTTGAACAAAACCAATCAATTCAAGAGAAATTTCTGCAGAAACAAGTAACAAATGTTACTCCTATTTTTTTTTCCCATTTGATCATACATCATAGCAGTTAAACTCTGAAACTTGAAATTAAATAGGTGTGGTTGTAAATGCGTACCTGAGTTTGTCTAGAGAGCTGGAGGGAGTGAAATGAAAGCTCATATGGCAATTTCATAATCGTATAGAAGATAACAGAACAAACTTGAACTTTTCAAGTTTCAACTGACGGTACAAAGCTTGGAAATATCATCTAGCATTGCAATTGAAGATTCTTTTACCAAATTTCTGCAATAATGCGGGTATTTGACATTTCATCAAGTTCCTTAAGGGATACGAAATAGAGATAAAGAAATCAACCAAATCACAAACAAAAAGCATTTGCAGCAATTCTATATATTATATGAACATGGTTTTACATGATGACGAGCCTTTGGCATTACTCATCTAACACTACTTGGGTGCTGGTAATGTGTGATTAAACAAGATTCAGTACCATGATGGGTAATCAAATTGATGTTCCAGATGAAGTAAAGAAAGTTAAAATATCGAATTGATGTTGCAGGAACTAAGAAAGATAACATGTAAAAGAGAATGCCCAAATGGTACGAAAAAAAGAGGGTGGCTAGCTTGATAAGGACTATAACTAAAGGTATATTATTGAGAAATGAAGGTAGAGCGAGAGAGCTACCTGGACTCAGTTTACACCTATTGAGCATCCCGAGAAACGCCACAGCATGCTAAAAGAAATATAGATGCCACTGGACAACATATATAGCAAGTCAGGAGTCAAGAGTAGAACGCATTTAGAAGAGGAGGAGATGCGGATTTGAAAAGCTTAAATGGATTAATCTCAATGCGAAAGTTGACGCCATTTGGAGTCGTTTGTACATAAAACTGGAATAACTGTGGCCTTACCCACCATGAAATTTGGTTTTTCCAATACAAATTTGAGGTAGTTTGGTAAGGTGCTGCCTACCTTCCATCCAACTACTGTCTGACCAAGTCAACTGATTTAAAAGAAGAGGGAGAAGGATAAACAACTTTTGTTATACTAGTTTAAATTTTATGTAGTAGTTGAGACGAATAAAAGAAGAAAAAGAGATAAACGTGTAACATTATCTCTGTAATATGATTTCAAGAATTTTAAAACGTACTTATGATTTCTGGAATGTGAGAAATCTTGGGCCAATCTGTGCCGCCGTTCCTGTTGCATCTTTGCTTTAGAAGGGGATGACATTTATTAATAAATAGGGTTTGTAATTTGGTGAGGCGTTGCATAGGTTGGACACTAGGTAAGTTGGTCAGATTCTTGCAATACCTAATGCTCAGCTGTGTGAGGGACGTAAGGCTACCCAACCATTCTGGCAAAGTCTCCACTCCCTCAAATGATTCTATATCCAAATATGTTAGAGAAGTGAGGTGTTGAATTTGTTGAGGCAGAGACTTGAGCTTAGGCCAACCCGTCAAGGATAACATTGTAAGGTGCATTAATGATCCAACTTGAAAATCAGAGAAGCAATCGAGCTCCTCCCAGAATCCACCAATTCTCAAATAACGGAGCGAATTGAGGTTGCCTAAACTTGGAAGAATCTCTAAATTAGGGAAACCGGTTATTACCAGCCTCTCAAGAGAGAGTGGGAATTGCAGCCCGCTCACCCAACTTTCTAATCCTTCACAATTGAAAATCGTCAGCTGTCCAAGGGAGGTGAAGGTGCGCAAATCTGAAAAAGATTGTAGACTAATGCAGCTACTTTGGACACCAAACCATGCTACCTTTGGGCATGCACTTATCTCCAAATTCTGAAGAGACGCACATTGTTGTGGAAGAGCAGGTAAGCTTGATAATTCTTTGCAACCATTGATTCTCAACTTCTGAAGGGAGGTGGTAACGCCGCCTTTAATTTCAATTGATTTCAGATTAGGGCAACTGAATATATCCAAATCCACGAGAGAGGCCCATACACTCAGTGGGCCCGATAAACCATGACAAAATAAAATATTCAACTGGCGAATAGATGCAAGGGTGTAAAATGGAAACGATGTTACACCATTGCAATCTTCTAAATGCAATGTCTGGAGAGAGGTGCAGTACTCTAACCCACTCGGTAGGCTTGACAATCCTTCACAATCATCAATACGTAATTCTCGAAGAGATGCCATGCCCCGTGTAATTGGAATCAACTCTAGACTAGGACACTGCCTAATACTCAGGTATTCAAGAAGGGGGAGTGTGTCTAGCCCATCCGCCAAATGCCTCAGCTTTCTACATATTAAAATATCCAATCTCTCAAGAGAGCCCCACAATCCAAATACATCGGGGGCAATACAAGTTAAATCATTGCAATCTATTATCTCCAAAGAGGAGAGATTATTGTTGTTCTTCAAAATTCCTTGCGGCAAACAAGTAAGCTCCTTAATACTTTGTATTTTGAGGAAAGTCAGAGTTGTTAATCCACTGCTTACTTCTTCTATTGGCTTTCCACTATCACTAGAAATTATCTTCAACTTTTGAAGAGATGGAAAATGACTCGGAACATTTCTCAATTTGGAACAGCCTTTTATGGTCAACTTCTCTAGGCATGGAAAAACCACTACTTTTTGTGCTGGCATCGTTGGTGCTTCCTTCCATTCAATTAGATCACAACACCAAGATATATTTAATACTTTTAGTGCAGGAAATAAAGTAATTATCTCCTTACTTGTCATGGTTACATTGTGGACATGATCATAACCGTAGAAGTCAGCTCCAACACATTTCAAGTTATCCATTCCGCTAATCTTAACCTCCGTAAGATTGGGTACATGACCGAGCGGTGGGACTCCTTCACATTTGTCGCATCCAAGTAATTGAATCTTCTTCAAGTTGTTGAGCAGTAATGACCCACTCATCATCCACGATGGAAATTTATCGCCCATGAAATTTTCAATACTTAAGTTCTCCAACTCAGAATGCGGTCGGAGGCCTTCCAGTACATCCCCCTCTTCATTGTTGTTAGTTATTGACCTATCTTCTGTCCATTGGAAGCTTAAATGGCATATTTTTCTCTTATCCTCCATCTTAGCTTTCTTTGCTTCTTCTCCATCCTTTACGAGCTCCAAATTACAAATAATTAATTCACCTCTCAATTGTTTCAAGTCAGCCAACTCTTCAATTTGACGACCAACCTCATCACCCACAGAAAAGTAAGGTAATGTTTGAAGGCAAGTCAACTGCTTTAACCCATGTGGGAATTTCGTACTCTTATCAAAATAAATGTGCCTCAGGTTGATCAAGTTTTGCAACTCTTTTGGAAACTCTTCAAGGGCACAATATGTGGCTCTTAAGGTCTGTAGGTTATGGAGCTTGCCTATAGACTTGGGGAGGGCTTTGAATCTTGTTTTAGAAATGTCAAGATACCTCAAGTGTTTCATCATTCCAACAGATATTGGAAACTCTCTAATATTAGCATTACTTAAATTTAAGACGCGTATAGCTTTGAACCGTGACAGAATGTTACTAGGAACTTCACCCTTGTCGGAAAACAGTGACCGCAATTTCCCAACACTTCTTTGTGGAATGTTTTCGAGTGTAAAAGTAGAAACCCGAGCAACATGTCGAATCTCAAGTGCTTTACCAGTGTCACATAAGTCTTTCGTCAAGATTTCAGATTTGGATATAAGTTCTGCCAAATCATGCACAAGATCGTGCATCTTGCATTTGCTAACAATGCCATTATCACTCATTGTAGCATCTTGAAATAAGGAGCTTTGTAATAGAATATCAAAATATTCATTGCCAATGTCTTCCATATCTCTACTTTCGCCAGTTGAAGGGTGGAGTAGTCCTTGTGCCATCCAAAGTTGTATCAAGCTATCTCTTTGAATTTCAAAATCTTTCTTGAACACTGAGCAATATGCAAAACATTGCTTCAGTGATGGTGATTCTAAATTGTCAAAACTCAACTTCAAGATTGGCATAATTCTATCTTGTCCTTTTGATAGGTTCTCCCATATTCTACTTTCTTTAAACGACGACCATTCTTCAATATCTTTTTTATTGCGCAAAATGCCTCCCAAAACCTGTTTGATTTGAGAGTTTGTATCAATAAAGTAGTTTAACCATGACTAGAAGGATTTATTTATTTATTTATTTTTGGATCTATGCGAAGCAAAATAATGTTCTCCACTATATTTTTTCGATCAGATGAAAAATAAAAAGAAAAATATATGACAGAAAAAAGAAAAAAAAAAGGAATAGTTATAACTAGTTTTAAGGGTAAATTACGGTTTGACCCCCTGAACTATCATCCAAGTTGAAAACGACCCCCTAAACTATTTTTTTGGTAATTAACCCCCTGAACTATTTAAAATTAGTCAATTAACCCATTGTCGTTTGATTGTGGAATCAATTACGTCAAATTCACGGGCAAATTAGTCATTTCATTATCAATTGTTACTTGTCAGCTATAACGACCAACAACATTTTGACACATAGTTACAAAATAATTAAAAAAACATATAGCATAATAAGAAAACATAAAAAACCAAACGTTTACATAACGGACCATCTTACATTGTCGTTACGCATTATTTTGTTTTCACATGTTATAATTTCATTGTTGGTTATAGTTGACAAGTAATAATTGATGAAGGAAAAACTAATTTTCTTTTGAATTTGACGAAATAGTGGATGAAATCTCCCGATAAGAGGTCAATTGACTTATTTCAAATAGTTCAAGGAGTTAATTTACCAAAAAAATATTCAAATGATCAATTTCAACTGGATAATTGTTCAAATGATCAAATGGCAGTCTACCCTTTTCTTTAATGCTTTTAAGTTTACAACAATCGCACTTTATTACACTTTTTTTCTGTCTTGTTTTCATAATTAAAGTTTAAATTTTCTGCCACTTTTATTACGGCTCAGCCACAGCACCCCAATTGCCCTGCCGCAGCCTCATTGGTTCTAAATGACGGTTCACGCAGCATCTTACAACGGTTGCTAGAGCTGTGTAGAGGCCACGACAATTGATGGATGAGCCGTTGGCTCCAGACGAGGTTATCGACGACGGAGCGGCTCAAAAGTGGTGGTGATGAGGCGTCGGAGGGAGACCGTGGGGGCTGGTGGTGGTTTCAGCTCAACACCTTTTGGTTTTCATTTTTATTTTAGTGATTTTTCGAAGCTAATTAAATTGGGTTTTTTCATTTGATCTGGAAGAAGCGAAATTTCAGTGACCTTTGCGTCGTGACTCGTGATGAAAGAAACATTTTACATTAGAACTATACATGGCATTCGTGTCATGTTTTTAGCGTTCGCGTCGTATTTTTTGTGTTCGTGTCGTTTTCGTATCATACCCGATAACTTAACAGGTCGTGTCGTATAATACCCGTTAAATAAACGGGTAATATGACCCGATCCAAAATCAACCCGTTAATATTCAGGTAATATTACCCGACCCGTTACTCATTAAGAAAAATATATTTTAAATCAATAAAAATGAAAATAAAAAACATAATTTGACCCAAAAAAATGTAAAACATAATACTAAATTAGTAAATACATACTAAATTTCGGAGTTGATCCCTTAATGAAACTTGTAAGGCTTTTCATTACGAGTGATTACATTTTTCACACTTCTACAATAATTATTATTAATTTTATTAATTTTTCACTCAAATAAATAACATTGTTCATGAGATTTGAAGGGTTTTAAAAATCTAAACGACCATGTAACTTTGTCAATGGAATTCAAAGTTTACATGTTATTCTTTTTACAAAATCCTTAATTTTCATAGATCATTATGACATAAGATTTTCTGGTATCCACTTCTATAAATATTTTAATTTGACGATCAAATTAATTCATTGTATTCATATATGATCAAGGAGTGTAGCTGTAAAAAATCATCAAAATCAGTGTTCAAATAACCATTAAATCGTGATTTTTTTTGTTTATAACCGTCGAAAAGTTTTGTCTTATTACTTGATCTTTGAATGTTTGTTTTTTTGCAATTTTGGCGTATGCGATTTCGAAGCATATATAAACAAGTTTGATAGTTGGATCATTGAAATTAGTTTCATAGGATGCGTATCCCATCAAAACGATACATTAACTAACATTTAGAGTTTATTTATACTTTCATTAAGTATAACATAAGATTTTGTGGTATCCACCAGTATAAATATTTTAAATTGAAGATCAAACTCTTGCATTGTATCTATATAAGGTCAAGGAGTGTAGCTGTAAAAAATCATCAAAATCAGAGTTAAAATAACCGTTAAATCGTGATTTTTCATTTATAACCGTCGAAAAGTTTTGTCTTATTACTTAATCTCTGAATGTTTGGTTTTTGCAATTTTTGGTGTATGCGATCTTGAAGCATATATAAACAAGTTTGATGGTTGGATCGTTGAAATTAGTTTCGTAGGATGCGTATCCCATCAAAACGATAGATTCACTAACACTTAAGAGTTTATTTATACTTTCATCAAGTATAACATAAGATTTTGTGGTATCCACTAGTGTAAATATTTTAAATTGAAGATTGAATTCATTCATTGTACTCATATAGGGTCAAGGAGTGTAGCTGTAAAAAAATCATTAAAATCGGAGTTAAAATAACCGTTAAATCGTGATTTTTCGTTTATAACCGTTGAAAAGTTTTATCTCATTACTTGATCTCTGAATTTTTTTTTTTTTTGCAATTTTTGGCATATACGATCTCGAAACATATATAAACAAGTTTGAGGGTTAGATCGTTGAAATTAGTTTCGTATGATACGTATCTATATCAAAACGATAAATTTACTAACACTTAATATTTTATTATTCATATAGGGTCAAAGAGTGTAACTGTAAAAAATTATCAAAATCAATGTTAAAATAACCGTTAAATCGTGATTTTTCGTTTATAACTATCGAAAAGTTTTGTCTCGTTACTTGATCTCTGAATCTTTGTTTTTTGCATTTTTTGACGTATGCAATCTCGAAGCATATATAAACAAGTTGACGGTTAGATTGTTGAAATTAGTTTCGTAGGATGCGTATCCCATCAAAATGATAGATTCACTAACACTTAAGAGTTTATTTATACTTTCATATAAGATAAAATTTTGTGGTATCCACTAGTGTAAATATTTTAAATTGAAGATCGATTTCATTCATTGTATTCATATAGGGTCAAGGAGTGTAGCTGTAAAAAATCATCAAAATCGAAGTTAAAATAACTGTTAAATCGTGATTTTTCGTTTATAACCGTCGAAAAGTTTTGTCTCATTACGTGATCTCTGAATGTTTGTTTTTTGCAATTTTTGGCATATGCGATCTCGAAGCACATATAAACAAGTTTGACGGTTGGATCGTTGAAATTAGGTTCGTAGGATGCGTATCCCATCAAAACGATAGATTCACTAACACTTAAGAGTTTATTTATACTTTCGTCAAGTATAACATAAGATTTTATGGTATCAACTAGTGTAAATATTTTAAATTGAAGATCGAATTCATTCATTGTATTCATATAGGGTCAAGGAGTGTAATTGTAAAAAATCATCAAAATCAGAATTAAAATAACCGTTAAATCGTGATTTTGCATTTATAACCGTTGAAATTTTTTGTCTCATTACTTGATCTTTGAATGTTTGTTTTTTGCAAATTTTGGCGTATGCGATCTCGAAGCATATATAAACAAGTTTGATGGTTAGATCATTGAAATTAGATTCATAGGATACGTATCCCATCAAAACGATACATTAACTAACACTTAGAGTTTTTTGGGGTTAAATATTAGGCGGGAAATGGATGGATATAGGCTGCAAAATTTCCCAAACATTAGGCAAGAAATGGATGAAACTCTTGAAATATTAAGCGGGAAATTAATTAATATAATTTTTTTTATGTGTTTGGTATTTTTAAATTACTTGATATTTTTATTTTTAATGTGTTTTATGATTTTTAATCTCAATCTTTGCCTATAATATACTATAAAAATAAATAAATAAATAAAACTTAAATTTCAAAATTTATATAGAATAATAATAGAATAATAATTAATAAACAATATATACATTTTCATTATATCTATTGCATTTATAGTAAGTATTTTTTAGTAGTTTAAAAAATTAAAATCATCAAAATAGCATTTTTCTTATCATGTCGAAACAGGTTACCCGTATATCACTCTCGTGTAAACCTGTTATTAATGGGTTATTATCGTGTGACCCGATAATGACCCGATTAGTTATCGTGTTGATCCGAAACCCGTTATTTTCGTATCGTGTTAACGGATCATGTAAGAAATTATCAGGTCTAATTGGAATGGAAGAGAGAAGGGAAAGAGGAGAGGGAGAGATTTTTTAGTTTAGAATTTTTTATTTTTAATATTATTTACATTAGTTTTTGTCACATGGCAAATTTGTTAGCCAAAATTACGTCACGTCATTATTTAACTAAGTTGTTAACAAAAAAACTAACAAAATTATGAAAGCGTAAAAAAAATTAAACTTTAGGTATATATGAAAATGAGACAAAAATAAATAAATATAGTAAAGTGTAATTTTTGCAAAATTTAACTGTAATAAATGAAAAATACCCCAGTTTTAAACACTCAAAGGTGTCTTAAAACAATTTAGACAATGCATGACGTAACAAATACCTACATGACGTGAGCAAAAAAAAAAACATAGAAGAAGAGATAATTCATCCAATTACTAATTTAATTGATTCTAACTAGATCGGTTTCTTTTTGGTAAAGTTTTTACACACTATCGAAGACGAAATTATGTAAATTGAATTTTTCATGGCGTGGGTAAGGTGGTGAACTGATGTGGTGGATACAAGTCCTAATTTATAAATGAAAACATGAAAAAATAATAATAAAGGTGCAAATTTCATGCTATGATGTATAATAATAATAATACGCACCTTTGCCACCAGTGGAACGCCACCACAATTTTTAGCAATCTCCTTTCCAACTGTGTGGAACTCCGGAGCTATATGAGCATTACCATTGGGGAACGCTCTATTTTTCATGATGGACCAACATTCATCCACATAAAGCTTTCCCAATTCATGTCGTTGAAGTAGCTGTTCGGAGATCGATGCGACTTTGCTACTACGAGTCGTGACAATAATCTTGGACCCCCCAGCAGAATGAAGCTTTGACAAACACTCCATCAAATTCTCCCATTTTCTAGGATTTTCATTCCAAACGTCATCAAGTACGAGTAAGTATTTTTTATCTTTCAACTCGTCTTTAAGGAACTTAAGTAGAGCTTCCTGGTTATCTTTCAATGAAGGGGCGTTTGCCGGTTTAAGTTGTTCTAATATCTTGAGTAGAATTAAATTGACATCAAAAGTGTCCGCTACACAAACCCATATTCTCTTTTCAAAGAACTTGAGTATCGAATCCTCATTGTAAACTGACTTGGCCATTGTTGTCTTGCCGATACCTCCCATTCCCACGATGGCCATAACCACAAGATTTTCTTGGTTGGTTTCGGAGTTGGTCAAGGTTGTGACTATATTCGACACCACCTCTCCCCTTCCAACGGTTATTTCATCTGTGCCAATGAATGAGTTGGTTTGTCTGTCCCATCTAGATTCCTGAGGGGTTGCATCTATTTTCTTGGAAACTAGACCAATGAAAGATGCCTCCTTCTTGAGATCTACCAAGGACCGGTTGATCTTCTGAATTTTATGTGCCATCTTCAAACGAAATGCAAGTGGATTGGAGGGTGAAAAGAAGTTGAGTACCTTTTTCTTCATATGATTTTGGAGTTCAACTTTACGGCGAACAACTTCGTAGTCGAACTCATCCATCACATCTTCAGCATCATGAGCTATGCCCTTAAGCTTCTTCACCCACTCCTCCACCACCTTGACCCGATCTTGTGGTTGGTCGGAAACAGCTCCCAAGAAATCCTGAATGGCGATTGATGACCGGCCAAGCCGTTTGAGTTCAGCTTCGAAACCCCAAGCAAGACTGAGTTCTTTATAAGCAAGTGACGCCACCTTCGACAGTATTCCCTCAACAGAAAAAGTAAACACAGTTTCTGCAATCTTCCCTTCCATGCTGGTCGAGTGAAGGTTCTCTCAATTTCCTCTCGAGTAGATAGAAGGAAATAACAATGCTGATGGCCGGATGTAGGGAGTTTAAATACTTTGACAATATTTTGCCTCACACAACTTCCTCAAAATTGACTGCCATGTAGCATCGCACCACATCTGCACCTGCAAATACACAGAAAGCTGAGCAATATACTAAAGGATGAAAGCCTGTACTGATACAAAACAAAGCTTAAAATGAATCAGTTGAATGGAAGAAAAAGTTATAATGCTTGAAAGGAATTAAGGAAGGCATTCTAACCCTATTTTGCAATTGCTCTTGTAGAATACGATTGTCTGCTGATTTTATCTGCATGAAAGGTATAGTTAAAGGATGAGTTCCACGACAACTGGCATGTACTGAGCAAATGTTAAAGCCCCAAACACAGATGACAGCTAAAGTGATAGGAGAAGTTTAGGAATGAAACATTGCCCATTTTGTGTCGATAAAAGAACTGATATATAAAGCATACACTCACTCAAAAAACTGATATATAAAGAATGCACTCACTTCCAACTCAAATCCCTTCTCATTGCACTAGGTCATCAGAGTTTTTAACAATCTTTTGCAGAAATTATAAGTAATTAAAACAGAGTTTCAGCTACTTGTTCCAAATAGTGAAACAAAATTGTACTACTACTTATGACACATACCTATCCTGATATCCGGGGACAGCCGGATGGCCACGTGCTGGCTGACACCTGAGGATGATACAAGCCATTTAATGAATGCATATGCCGAGAACATATAAAACATGCACATAGATTTTGCGCATAATTACGCAATGTAATATTCAATTACAACCCTTACCAAAATAACATAATAATATTCAACCGTCAGTAAAATGATAGTGATAATACATGACATGTTCAAAGCATACATCTAATTAGAATACAAGCGAAAGGTGCTATTACAAGTGATGTCAAAGCAAAGAGGATGACACGAAATGACTGGTAGGGGAATACCTCGTAGCCCGGATCATATGCTTCATTCCTATGTCTTGAAGGGGCGCATAACAACCATGAGTGGACCAAGTTGATATATAAGTAGTACAAACATAGTTATTCTATAACGTACTAACCCCCAAAGTTTTATGAAAACTCATATAGCATAATAAGTAATAGATTTTCCGAAAATCCTAGCATGCTATAAAACCTTTCATAAAACATATATCATATATAGTGTGCTAACCAGTAGCATCATATATAAGTATCTTCCGGCCAAAGCTATCTACCAACACCCGGCCGAAGCCAATATAAGTATCTCCTGGTCGAAGCCATCTACCAACGCTTGGCCGAAGCCAATATGAGTATTTCACCCGTAGGCAAAACAGTGATCATTAGATGAGCACAAAACATTGAATATAATCTTTCCAACATAAGTACATATATCTCAACAGAGCTCAGTAGCTCAAACATCGTATGTCAAAGCATCTTCATAGTATTTAGTCATTCATCATATATACTATAAAAAACGTAAAAATCAATAAAGTATGGTATTCCAAAATATTCTCAGTAAAGCATGATATCTTATAAAGTGTAAATCTAATTTACTCATAAACGTTTCCTAAAATGTAATCATTAAATCATGTTTTTCATGTACGCATTTCTAATAATGAAATATGCATTTTAGAAGAGGTCCACTCACATATACTCGTCTTTGAAGAGTAGTGTGAGATAGTGAGAACAGAAACGACGCTAGTAAACGCACCTAAGCACATAAATGTTTCAATTAATAAAACTCTATCATAATGATAGAATTTTGGAAAAAGGTCGTCATAAACGGGTAAAGACGTCGAAATTAGCCTATCAGGGATCCCGACATAAACCCAAAAAAGTCAACAAAGTCAAAGTTAACGATCAACGGGTGGGTCAAATGTTCTGGGTCGGGCCTAAATGGGTTTGGGTTTTTGGGTTAAGGGTTTTGGGCTTTGGGCTTGGGGTAATTGGGCTGGGTTCCATGGGTTTAGGCTTTGGGCTGGGCTTCCCGGCCCAAAGGAATCTGGGTTTGGGGGTCAAGTTTCAGGCCGAAGAATTTGGCCGATTTTTGGTACACTTTCAAATGCTCATAACTTCTCCGATACTTAACCAAATCGAGTGATTCAAAAACCAAAGTTGCAGTACTCAACGAGAGGAAGGAAATGGTACTTGCAAGATGGCGAACTAGTAGTGGTTTGGCCAAAAAATGCCTTGAAAGCGGCAGCGCTCGCCAAAATTTTTGGAAAAGCTACCCTGATGTATTTTCTGCGATTAACACGTATGTACAACTTAAAACAAGCTTCGATCTATCCTTAAAACACATCCCAATAGTTTGTAGAAGCTTACCAACATCAAAAAGTTTACGAAACATCTCAGAGTTCGTCGGGGGAGGTGTGCACCGTGACTATCACGGTTAAGGTGCCACGTTTGGCCTGAGATTCTTGAGGTCTCAAACCCAGGTAATGGTGGTGATGGTTGCTGTGTGTATGTGTGTAGAGAGAAGAGAGGGAGAGTTGTAGAAAGAGAATGCACAGGGGTGAGAGGAAAGGGAAGAGATAGATAGAGAGAGAAAGTGAAACGTGAGATGGGAAGAGTAACAAAAACCAGAAAAAGAAAAGGGGGAAGGGGGATGCACCGGTCCAAGGGAAAAAGCAAGGGGACCAAGCTTTTCAAAGTGGGTTTCAATGGCTCACAATTCAAGAACGTATAAGACAAAAAACAAAATATTCGAAAGAATCTTCGTTATAACTTTGAATTTGAATCATTCGTGTTCATACATTCGTGGTGGTGATAAGTACGATAAGAATTACTTATTTAAATTAAAACTTCGTGTTTCGACGAGACGGTCAAACAAAGTCAACTCAAGGGCAAAAATGGTAATTTCATAAGTTTGACAATATGAAAATACAGTTAAATTGGGACGCGGTTTCACAACTTATGAACAAGAATAATTAAGATGATGAGAACGCAAAACTCCTTGCTGCATCTCAACCATAGATACATTAGTAATTGAAGCCTCACCACTTTCTTTAATCCGCTGTTCCAAGACCCTCATTTTCCTTCCCCTTTTCATGGATATCACATATCCAAGTTCTCAATCTGTAAGCATGGATTGTTAATCAGAATCAGTTTAAGTAAAATAAACATACTTCCGCTGCTGCTCAAATGAAGCCGTAAAACTGTTAAACTACTTGGGATGTTGAGTGTTAAATGGAGATCATGAACTAGAAAGGCCTGTAAATTTTAACTAAAATATGTTTATCCAACATTCAACTAACAAGTGCAAGCCACTGTCTCTTCTTCTTTTTTGTTAACCAAGCATCACCCAATTCGACTCATCCAACACTAATTCTCGACAAAAATAACATACCTGAAAATTGCTTCACCAGAAACTCAATATAAGAAAACCTAACACCAACACAAAATTTTAGAGTCAGTTGAAAGAGATTGAAAAGAAACCCAAACCCAAAATCCAATAGAGGTATTGTGTGAAAGAGAATCTGGCATGAGGGTCCTTGTTAGCAACCAGAGCTTAGAAAGAGAGAGTCGGTCGTAGCTCAAAGAGGGAAACAAAAGGCACACCTAATCGTAGTGTGAGTGACTGAATCGATTTGGTGGTTGGGAATTACCGAATTAGATTTGGGTTGGGAACTTGAGAACAAAAATTGAAAGTAATTAAAATTCAAAAAGTGGATTAATCATCCTCAAACCAGCGCAGCCCAGAAAGAAATTACAAACCTAACTTAGATTCTCAACCAAATTTATTACCTAAAATCCCTCAAAATTACAGTGGTAGAACAAATCTAAGAAAAGCACCACAAAATTGAAACTAAACAAAAAGCTACGGGGAAAGAATAGGGTAGATAGAGATTGCGAACTTACCCAAAGTTTTAGAGAACGAAATGCAGAGAAGCACCCTGCATTGGAAATTTCGGAGCTAGAATGGTCAAGCACTTCGACGGTGACGCGAGCAGATGAATCGACGACGATGTCGAGCACATGGTGCGACGGCGATGTCGAGCATATTGAGCGACGACGAGCAGATAGAGCGAGATCGGAGAGCAGAGAGTTACGATTTCAAAGAGAAGGGGAGGGGGGGGGGGGTGGGCATTCAATATTTTTTTTTTTTTTTTTTTTTTAAGTTTTAACGAAAAACCCATCGTATGAAAAATCATATTTTTATCCTAAAAAGTCAAATCTAGTACTATTCATTTTACCATTTATTTTGTCCTTATCGTTAAAACTCAAAATTTTCAAACCATTTTAATTAGTTTTCCTTTTGTTCTTTTGAAAACTCTGTCGACAGTTAAGATTATAGTATAATGAAAATACAATGATTTTTAAAGGGGGAATTTTTCGATTGAAGAAGCGGGCGAATCAAAAGGACCAAAAAATACAAGGCGCGAGAATAAATTAGTCCACGCCCATCTTTTGATTGTTAGAGACTACAAACTTGCATGCTTTCTTGAGTGTCATTTTATTTGTTAGTATAAATATTTTTCGTCGATGGAAGTATTGTCGGCACAAGTTCAACGACGATGGGCCTACAAATTAAAATTTTCGTCAGGGGAGGAGTTGGTGACAAAATTTTACTTTATCGGCTTAGAATTTGTCAGCAAAATGATATTTTCTAGTAGTGTTTGCTTTAGATTATAGTCATTAGACACGTCTAGTTCCTTCCTTCCGCAGTGCTTCCAAGTATTTTACCTTCGGATTGAATTCGTCCGTCTTGATGCCTTGAGTGTACCGTATATGTCGTGAAGTATAATATGTACTTAATTAATTCGTCCTAGATTCTTAATTTACATATGAAAATATGTGCTTCCAAGTTTCTGCAATTTTCATATGTAATTGAGGATATATTCTCTTTTGCTTTAGATATGTGTCTACTTTCTCATTCATTTGTTTTTTTATTCTTTAATGCTTTCAGTAATCTTTATTCGTCCTTATAGGTTCCGCAATCTTATCTTGCACGTATTCGTTCGTTTGTTCTTTTCTTTCTTAATCTTTCAAAAATCTTACCTTTTGCTAAATGACTTTCAAGTTATAACTACTTTTCTTGATGCTTTCATTGTACGTATTGGCCCTTATGTCTTGTCAATGTCAACATAACACTTTGCGCTTCGGCTCTTTTTCATCATAATCATGAACAACAAATCATGCGCTTATAAGGAATAACAATACGTACTTCATGTATGCAGTTAATATCAATCAACGATTCTAAATTTAACCCCTATGTGAGTAACTCGCTTTTCTATCTACACCCCATCTTTAAACTTAAATTCTCATTCTTTCTAAAACCACCCTATGTTTCTATCTAATTGTCTTCTACTCCTACATATGTCTTTCTCTCTCTGTTAGGACAGTTCTATATTTGTGACTCGCCCTTGCCCAACAGGCGGAGTTGCGCAAAAGCAATTACCTTCCGCCTTTAGGAAGGAGGACCAAAACATTTGTTTTAAAGCTCTTAGATTATGGCCAAATCCCACTGCCGATAACAACAACAATAATGTCACTCTCGAGAGTGGCATTTCGACTAACTTCATCTCTGAATCCCATAAATTCCGAAGATCTTGTTGTTTGCAGCTTGAATTTTCTGCTTAAAAGAACAGAGATTACTTCCTTCACATCTGCAATGCACAGTTTGTTGTAAACAGGGCTAATTTTCAAAGAAACAAATGTCAATCCTGTATAATGGCATAAGAAAGCGTCTCAAAGGAGACAGTGTTACCTTCCCGGACCGAGGAGTCTGTAGAATACTAAGATGTTGAGACAATGGTGCGTAAACATCATCAGGAAGAGTGACCCCAAGTACACAATATGGATATGAACCGACACCGTTATGGAATTCCATGTAAAACTCTTTTACAAGCAAAAGTTAAAACTTTGTTTTGCAACAAAGATGGCTGTTACCTCATTGTTACCATCTTCAGTAAAACATCCAAAATTTCTCTTTTTCGTTGCAGACAGTACTGAGTGAGTGCATAGGACTGTACAAACCTTCCATACACGCAAGCTGGGGTACGTCCACGTTTAGTTGTTTCTCCGGTTTTTACTATAATAATGTAGGTTACATTTCAAAACGAACAATCTGTTTGCAAGCTCATAAGGATGCATTCAATTTTGCGATGAGTGTCAAAACGAAGAATATTGATCCAGTTGCAATCGACAAGATAAAAGATTTGTCTCCAAATTATACAAGACACATAATATTATGCCATTTTAATTTTGTCAAGGCAAGTTCAAAATGTTGAGTCAAAATCCAAGAGATTGGGATGGTTTCACTGAGAACCGAAATTCAAGTGCCTTGTCCAAATAACCTTCACCTACGAGACGTATCTCGATAACCGCAGCTAAAATCTACGATGCCGACAAGTTGTTAAGCTTTCTTCGTCACTCTCTCCAGCTACGCTCTCTTTCGGAAAAGCCTTTGCTTCACTACTTTCTTTCTAGGTTTATTCTCTGGTACCTCGGGTTTCTCCTCCGTTTCTTCGGGTTTGACTTCACAGCCTTCTGGACTCTCTATGAGACGTACTCTGTTTGCTTTAGCTTTCTTTCCCACTTGTTTAGGAGCAACTTCATCCACCTTCATTGCAGAGACTTCCTGCTTGGTTTCACAACCTTTGGGGCTCTCTGTGGAAAGCTTGGGAGAGGTTTCTAGGCCATCCATTTCAGGCACGACACCTCTCTTGGACCTTCGTTTCTGATCTGATCCCAAGTCTGGCGACGCTTTTGTGTCATCCATTGCAGGCACAGTACCTCTCTTGGACCTTCGTTTCTGATCTGATCCCAAGTCAGGCGAAGCTTTTGTGTCATCCACTGCAGGCACAGTACCTCTCCTTGACCTTCGTAGCTGATTTGATTCAGAGTTGATGTTGGTTTTTGAGTCATCTGCTACAGGCGCAGCCCCTCTCTTTGACCTTCTTATCTGATTTGATTCCAAGTCTGTGGGAACTTTTGCGTCATCCGTTGGAGCTACAATACCTGTCTTTGACCTTCGCCTCTGATCTGATTCTGAGCCCGGGGAAGGTTGTGAGTCATCAATCTCAGACACAGAACCTCTCTTAGTTCTTCGTTTTTGAGTTGATTCTGAGTTAGGCTTCACGGCTGTCTTCGATGTATTTTCAGCACTGGGAATATCTTCTTTGTCCACAATGCTTTTTATACTGGACATTGATGATACTTTGACAATGTAGATCTGCAGTCCATAACAACTGGTAGTTCAAGATTTAGCGTTTCAAAGAAGTTCGAAATTTCTCAAGTCAAGCCTAAGCCAATAATGATATAGTCATGACTTTGAGAGACATCAATTGAAAGACTAAATAAACGATACTCTAATTACAATTTGCACAGATGTATCATTCCTAGATTGAGACTAAATGCTTACCTTAAATCTTGTGGGTTCAGTCAGTTCGAATACAAGTGCATCACCATCATCCAACTTGTGTTCCAGTGCAAACGCTCTCCAGCCCCCACTAAGCCCAGTTCTCGTGCCAATGTAGACAGCATCGTACTCTTTGCCATGTTCATCCTCCAGCACCATATCTGAGCCCCTTTTTGAGAGATATTCATCACAAAATCTTGTGGGAAGACCCTTGAAATCAAAACAAAATTCTCAAGCAAATAGATTAGCAAATAATACTAGGTCTCCCACAACTTGAATTGATACTGGTCAGATTATATGAAAAACTGAAAACTAGTGATGGCCATAGGCTTAAAATGCAAATTTGGTTGCAACTTACCAACCAAAAACAGCTATAAACATGCGATCGAACCATCGTTTTGACGAAAGATGGATTATCAGTTTGTAGATTCTCCAGAAGCTTCTCTGCAGCTTTAAGAGCAGCTTGCCTTTCTTCATAAGAACAAAGTCTGACTTCTTCCATCGGCCTCGCAAGGTAGCTGAAAAATTCACACAAATACTACTAAAACTCTACATTACCAATGCAGTATGGAAACATCAATTAAACAACCAAACAAATCTATTCAACCTTCCACAAAAAGATGAACTCGACCTCGACCTCGACCTCTTTCTCAAGGGCGAAAGGTCTATGTCAACCTGAAATGGGGAACCAAAGTCCATTCTTTTTCTGTTAGTATAAACTATTAAGATAACTATCAACTGCATTGTTTTCCGTAAATTTATGGAAAGATTGATTGCTCAAAACTTGGTTCTCACACAAGGAACAGTTGTGATTAGAGACATGGATCACTTACTTCGTCACGATACGTTTGAACTGTATTGCGTTGACGGGAAGACCTTCTCGGCTCTATATCCAAACAAGCATTCCTTGCTTTTGGTTTCGAGACACGATGCTGCACCACAGAGATATTCATGTTAATTATAATATAAGTGAACGGATTCAGTGCTAAATCAGTGTTACTCAAAGTGGTAAAATCCATACTTATACAAGGCAATGACGAAAGTAAAAGCGGCTATCCATTCCAACAGACTGAATTAACAAAATAATTAAGCTAGATGACGCGGCGATGGAGATAATTGAGAGCATTTAACAATCTGTATTAGCTTCGGAAACTTTCAGGTGTTGCAACAATGAAAATTTTGTACGTGTTCCTAAGAAAAGAAAAGGAATTTGTGCATTTTTGGGGGCCCGAAGGAGCGTAGAACAAGGGCCAAAACGAGATATCCAAATAGAATAACAAGTACATGTAAATGTAATAGAAATGAAGGGCCAAATTAGAAGTTGGAAACAAAGCCTGGTTCTTTTTCTAACCTGGGTCTTGTTCGGAGAAGCAGTCAAGTGAGTCAATGTCTTTGAAATGCTTGAGATTCCCAAATCCTTCGTCAGCCAAACAGAAGAAACTACAGTTAAAAGATCGAAATTTTTTCGCAGGAGGAGGAAGAAGAAATGAGTGGGATTTTTAGACGCAGACCTGAAATTTCCTTTTGTTTTCTTCGAGACGCTGGTTGCGAGCTTCTTCGTAAGTGGTGGCGGCGATGGCTACCATTTTCGGTCGGAAACGGATTCGATACAACGGCGGGAAGCGGAGGTGAGATCGATGGGAGAAGAGTGGGATCGGCGATTGAGAAAACGAGAGTCGAGTTATTGGGGCTGCGGGTAAAGAGAGTGTGGAGAGTGGAGGGAGTGGAGAGAGTGGCGCGTTGAACAAGGTAAAGAAAGTGCGCCTTTTTGAATTTCAAATTTACTTGGCTTTCCAACCCAAAGTTAAATAAATAAATTTCACTTGCCTAAAAGGTAAAACTTGACTGCCCTACTGCCTATACGACGTCGTTTGGGTTCATTAAGTTTCATTGAGAACACAACCCAATACATTAAATATCATAATATAAATAGTTGAAATATTTTTTAAATATACAACCATTTATATAAAGGAAAATTAATAAAAATAATTTGAAAACTTTGAGTTTTAATGATAAAGACAAAATAAAAGGTAAAGTAAATAGTACTAGGATTGACTTTTTAGTGTAAAAATATGATTTTTCATTAAAATGAACAGTATTGCAGACCTTTCGTTAAAACTCCATTTATATTAAAATATTTGATGTACATGAACGTATTTTCAATACACTAATCGTTTCTACGCATACTGAAAGCTCACTAGTCACTGAATGGATGAGGAAGGTAGGAAGAGGGTTTGAGCAGTACTACGATTTGTGCACGCGTTCGTCTTGATTGTGGCCGTGCATCAACTCACAACATGTCAAAGGTCAAGAGTGGTCATGAGTGGAAATCCAATTCCGTTTTGTCCCTTCTGCATAAAAATCAACTGAGGGTGAATGTTTTACCAAACCTGTGTACAACTTCTTTCCTATGTATTGATTTCCTACTTTACACATTAGAAAGAAGAGTCAATAAACGATAGACCAAACATTACAAAGTTATTAATATTAAAGCATTCATTGATCATTGTTAACCAAAATTCTATGAAATTACCAGTTTAACTCTGTAATTAAAACAGAACATGAATAAGAAATATGGAGCATAAATGTAATTTCACACAACCAAATTTTACTATTTTTTTCAAAACATTACCTACATATAATCCTAACATATCTCTAATTAATAAATAAATAAATAAAAACTTCTTTCTCCCACATTCTCTATCACTCTCTTCTTCTCTCCTTCTATTCCAAAAAATAAAAAAATTCTCAAAACACTTTATGTGTGCCCATATGCTAGTATTGATTAAAAGAGCAAAAAAAAATACGTAGACTAATTGTGACCATCATAATCATTGATGCATATCAAACTCAATGCATCAATTGCACAAAGAAACGCTAGTTACATCCACTAACATTCTTCTTCTATTTCCAAAAAAAGAATTCTCACACACTTTATATGTGCTCATATGCTAATGTTGATTAAAAGAGCAAAAAAATACGTACACTAATTGTGACCATCATAATCATTGATGCATATCAAACTCAACGCATCAATTGCGCAAAGAAACCGCTAGTTACATCCACTAACATTCTTCTTGCCGTAGTAGCCAAGACATTTTACAAAATTTCGACGTATTAGGGAAATAACCTTTTGCGAGCAACAGAATATCCCAAATCACATCAATAAATTGGTCTAAAGTTAACCGTCTTAACCTGATATCAATTTAAAATTATGTACCAAAGAAATCAATAGCAAATTTACGGTTGAGAGAGAACAAACAATGATGCCAGCTAAACTCTTATTAGGTTAATGAAGCTTTTGAAATACCTGAAAACGTTTTTGATGAAAATGTTTTAAGACCAATCCTTAGGTTAACTTAAAATGCAAATGCAAGTAAATCCTAAAAAAACATTTGAAGTGTTTTTCCTGCAAGAAGCACATAACCGGTTCTTCTTTGTAAGAGGCACCAACAGAGCAACAAAAGGGCTACCCTGGACTGTCGCCTAGGTACCTTTTGGTAGAAAATAAAATTTTACGTGTAATTTTTATTGATTTTCGAATATAACCCACCATATATTTAGTCACCGATTCCAATTCTCTCGGTTTAATTATATAATACAATTTACAAATCATCTATTTTTCTCACATCTTTTTTCCCATCGCTTCTTGTACATGTAGAAGTTTGAATTTGTTTGAATAGCGAAAGTTCTTAGCTCACCTTGTGAAAATTTTCTTAAGCTAGCTGATACTGTAAAAAAATACAATATCAAGTTTCTTTGTTTATAAAGATTTAAATCTTTAAGCTAGCCTACCTGATGAAAAGTTTCTAGCTCTGCCATTGGTAAGAGGCACTTCGTTATGTGCTTCTTGTAGGAGAGGCTTCATTATGTGCTTCTCATAGGAGGCACATCAATGCTTCTCATAGGAGGCTTCATAATGCTAGAAAAGTTTTCAGTCATTTTAAATGTGTTTCCAAACTAGCCTTTAGGCCACACATAAGCCATATGAAATTTGAAAGCGTTATTCTATTTGGCACCAAACCAATTTCATATCCAGCAACACCCAAAAATTGTCAATTTAACGAGTACTCGTCGAGACAAGGACTGGAATTCGCAGTAGCTAAGCTCAACATTGAAGTACAAGTTTAATCAACTTAAACAGAAGCTAAAAACCTAAAATCTCAACTTATTGGCAGTAGAAACGAGAAAAGCTACAATCTTTCTGGCAAATCACCAGAAATCGTCCGAAAGCATGATCTCAGTACCTGTGCTCCATCTTCTCCTTTTCCTGGTAGGCATTAACATACCTGCAACAATTCAAGATTGAGCATAAAAATGAAAAATGTTGTTGACCTGAAACAATTTTACAGATTGGGCTGACAGCGAGTGATGACGAAGTAAAAACATCGATTATGAAAAGAAAGCGGATGCCATATACAGACTTGCCCAAACATAGCAATGTTAAAATGTACAATTGACGAACAAGATGCCTATCAAAACAAGAATCGTATATACTTTAAGCCTTATACACAACTTACTTACCTATATGGCTATATATATGATTCTATATGTTGGTTTATACTTTTGATTTCCATCATTAAATGGCGATTAAGCCGGCATTAACAGTCTTAGCAATACTTCATAACCGCGATTGATCACTGATGATGGTTTCAAGCCACACAACTCACTACATTAATACCTTTGTATCGACATAAGATAAACAAATTGACCTTCTTTCGTGTATATATGTAAACAAAGACCCGAAAATCCGTATCTCAGGGTTGCCCCTCTTCACCAAGCAGGCTCAAATCCAATGGCAGGAGCTAAAACAATCAACTAATCCAAAAACCAAAAAGATTATTACTTTTAATTTTTTTCACAAAATCCAGTAAAAATTACAGTCTGCATGCGACTATAAAATATCAAAAGATGCCACATTTCTTTTTTTTTTTCTTCCTATTTTCATCCAACATCATCAGCTCCAATCCAAACAAATAATCAAAATATAAATAAGATTTAATTATCGTTACGAAATTAAAATCCTTGTGCCGAATATCATAGAAAAGTATGATGAATTGGTGATTGGTGAAGTTTTGCGAGGAAATTGTATTCAATATATCAATTTTCCTATGTGTGTGTGTGTGTGTGTATATATATACACAGATAAATAGATAAAAAATAATAAGACGACGAAGATTCGGAGGAGGAGAAGGAGAAGAGCGTACGTGTAGACGCCGACGAGAGGGCCGAGGAGGAGGGTGGCGCTAATCCAGTTCTCGGAGACCTTGTGGTGGATCTTGTTGGGCAGATCTTTCCAGAGTCCCGGCATCACCTTCTGCTGGAACGGCGACAGTGCGTACACCACCGCCTTCATCTTCACCGGCAGCTTCCCCATTTTTCTCAGTCCTCTCCAGAAACTTCTCAACTTCCCTTCTTCTCCGTCCTCTCTGATGTGAAATGAAACCGCTTTGCCTTACGCAACTCTAGTTCTTATTATATAATCAAAGGCCGTCGTTAGGCCCATATAACAAAGTTGGAGATTATATCATTTTGAGGCCCATTAAAAGGTTGTAAAGCCCATTCACTTAAACAAGCCCATGGGCGAGCCCCGGTCTCCGGACCTAGCCTCTCACACAACCCTTTGGGGGTGGGAAACTAGGAATTTGAGCGAAGTCTCGCAATGAGTCAGACATAAGTTAGTAATGAAGTCGCCATTTAGGGCAATCGGGCAATCTAGCTTGTGGTTTCCCACTTAAAAGTTGAGAAAGATATCGCTAAACTATAGTTCTAGTGGCATTATTCGAGTTATGAATACGAAGGGAATGATATGAATTGCTTGAGTTACAAGTTACTTGTACAAAGTTTGGCAAATTCAGTCATTTCCAAACTCAAATTCGCAAGGGTCTCAAGTTCAATTTCCCCCTGCAAATCGGTTAAAAAGTATTCTTGCATGCACATGAGATCTTGAGTTTGATTTTTTCGTCCTCTATCGTTGTATGGTCATATCACTGCAGGTGGAGATAATGTTGATCGAAATGTATGTTCATCATCTTACTTTGCAAAAACACTAATTTAGAGAACTGAATTCACCCAAAAATGTAAGAACATATAAAACAATCGATGCATATTCCTCTTCGGAGTTTAGACAGCGTCGAGTTAATAACGGATACATGTTCAGCATAATAAGGAATAACTTATATGACATAATTTTTCTACTTCTACAATCACAATCGACTACAAACACGAAAGCTATAACAAAAGAATATCTCCGCTCATCCGTATATCCTAATGTCATGGAAGAAAACCCCTGCATTGATCCTCACCGAACAGGTCCACAACGCATCGTCCCTTACAGTTTGCATACAGAATTGAATTACACAGACAAGCATCCTGTGGCAAGTAAGCTCAAGAGTCGTAAGGGAGTACGAACCAATAGAAGAGGAGTTAAGTGAACCATTACAGACCAGTTTTGGCACGCTTCATCCCGCTTGAAGTGAAAGGAGAGACACTACCATATGGTTGAGGGCTCTCTTCTCGTAAATTGGATTTTAGCATAGCTAGTTCTCTCAACTGTTCCCTCTTGTAGTGGTCTTGCGACTCATCCTGAAATGAAAATCATAATCCAGTATCCATGATTTTTGTTAAGAAAAAATGTGATTAAAAAACCGAGAGTTACAGCTCACAATTTGAGTGAAAAATGTGATTAAAGACCAAGCGGTACTTTTATATGAATGAAGGGCATCTTGTATATTGAGGGAAGGAGAAATCAGTTTCATGATTCATTGTAATATGTATTTGAGAAAGAAAAACGACACTTTATAGCGTAAAGGCAAAATAAAGTATTTGTATTGGAAAGCCAAAGGGACGAGTTAGAAACGATACCATAGGTTTGAGAAGTTCTTCTATGATTTGTTTTGCCTGTCTCAACCGCGTATCAACAATATTAGCAGGCAATTCAGCCTCAATTATAATGTGCAGTGGATCATTCAGATGTTCATAACCTGGCCTTCCCCTCAAAGATTCCTCCTTGAGAATAAGAAGGCAAGAAATACATGTCAAAATACGTCAACAAAATAGATAGCATAGAATGAAAAGTCAAGAAAAAAAAAAAAGAACTTGATTTAAAATAATGAAAATTTCTTTTCTTAATAAATAACAAAACTGGGAATAATTATACCTTGTCAATATCTCTTATTGAACATTTTCCTCTTATGTACACACGACAGCCTGTAGACGCTTCCACCCGCTTTAGTGAATTGCCTCTAGGACCCAGAAGCCGGCCCACAAAATTGAACTACAAAATAGAAGTTTCAGTACCGAAAACAAGAGAAGGGGTGAATATCAATAAGGTCCTTAAATACGGACTTGTTTCTCAGTCAGTCATAAATCATACGTGCGGCTGAGAATCCTGAGAAACATGCACTTATTTTAAGAACCTTATCGAATACTAACTCTATGCGTGCTTGCGCATGCAAACACCTCCCAATAATATGTTTTTGTTAACCATTAAACCAACAACTCCGAGTTTAAGATAGCAATGTCCCTTAACGCACTGTCAAGTTATATGGGTGGCTTACATTTGGAAAGCTATCTACTGGAATATCCAAGCGCAATATCCTCTTCACAATGTAGGAACTTGGGCTTGATGGTGCAACTTGCCACTCCATATTCATCCCTTGTGGACCGCCCATTCTCTGTTACATTATGCAAGCAAATCCAGACTATTGAAACCATACCAAGATGCAAAAAAGATGAACAGATATAGCATTGCGGTGCTGATAAAAAGATAACACTGAGAAAAACAAGGAAGATGGGAACCTGTAGTGCATTCCGTATAAAATAAATGTGACAAAAGCTTAATATACATACAATTAACGTAGTGGGAATCCAAGCTTGTCAAGCAACATAAAATGGTATGGGAATAAATAAAATCAATTAAACTTTAACCGTATTGTAAAGCTGAAACTTCCACTATTTACCATATAATAATGGATTTATATGAAGCCAGTGCATTTACGGGCACCCTGCCTTAACCACACTTTGACTATATCCTGGATCAAAATGAATTCAGAATTGAGAAAGCCGCCTATGGGAAATAGATGAATTTGGAAAAAGTCAGTGGATAACTGACCCAGGAAGAAACAATGCTGTAGGCTGATACATAAGAGTGTTTTAGCAGTCTTCAAGTCCACAAAAAAGTAAGCAACACTGTGTTTCAACCTGTGGATAGAAGACCACCATAATTAACTTCCAAACTCCCCATACTGCATTGCACATTCTAATCCCACTTCAGGCCAGATCCAAATCTTCCAAGTGGAATACTATAGGCTATCTCTCAGGACCTGATTATGCTTTCTTCTTGCTGAATGCCACACTACTATTTACGAGTAATATAACTAGTTTTTCAGACTTACATTCTTTCCATACGAATTACGGAGGTATGCCCAGACAAGTATACAAATCTAGCAGGAAACTCATTTACGGATATGCATTTTAATTAAATCAGGCAGGGGACAGCAAGAAAAATAATCAATAAACTACTGTGATATATATAAAATAAAATGGAAATGCGGATGTGCACCGTAAGGGTGTTGCATTAGGGAGTACATAATTGCCGACACTTACATCATGAGGGCGTCCGTTCCAACCACCGAGGCCTGACCCTCTATAATTTGGTATTATGTCTGAACCAATAGGGCTAGGGCTTCCACGTTGCAGTCTGTCAAAGTCACTAAACCCTTGGTTGGGCATCATTCCTGAGACGCGAATTATCTCTATCAATACAGAAGAGTACCAAAGTTAGTAAATTCCTTCCTCAACATTTAACACAATGAAAACAAGAATATAGGCATGGAATCAGTTTCCTGACAGAGTTCAACTTGTCTACCTTCCGAATAGAAAACTCATGAGTTGGAGTGATTAGTAATTCCATGAAATGAAAGAACACATAACATGAACAAACATACAAGTCAACTCCAATATTGTGGGGGAAAATGAAGTTCCATTTTAACCCAAAGAATTAATCTTCAAGCCCTTCCTAGAGGCAGAAAATTCAACATTCTAATCTCCCTATCAACAAGTTCTGATCTTTTTCCTCAAGCATTTCATAGTTCATCAATTACCCAATTCTGAAATACAGAAATGAACAGCAGGCAGATCTTTTTCATGGCATAATCTCAATTGGGTTCACGGGAAAAAGCTGAAAGATTCCGGTTTTCGGCACACACAACATCCAGATAAAGCAATTGCCCAATACACACATACAGAAAGAACAAGCATACAGAGCTTTTTCATTGCACAATCTCAATTGGGTTCACAGGAAAAAGCTCAACAAACATCCAAAACAATTCCAAATCCGAATCACAACACATAAAATAAGAACTTAATCCGATAGTAAAAATACGGTTGAAAGAGTAGAAACCTTGATTCAAGAGGCGGCCGCATATGGGGACGACCTGCGCGAAAGGCCCGAGCTTTTGGTGCTCCGCCAGCAGCTCCGTCAAGTACTGGCTCTCCATATCCGGCGGCGTTCTCAGGTGCGGCGAGAGCGCTCTCGCCGGTGAGAAATTCTGAGCGTATGAACCCGACATTGAAATCCCAATGGAGGATAAGAGCTCAGAAGGGGTACAGAATTGAGTGAAATGGTGAGAGACTTGTACTGTGCTGGGTCTTCTGGGTTTGCTGGGTAGAAGTAAAAGTAATGGTAGGCAGAGTGGTGGGGTTTATAATTGAGAAGGTTTTAATGGCGTCTTTTGCTTACTTGCTGTAGCTAGAGAGAGAAAGAGAGAGGAGAGAGAGGCGATGCGGATTCCATATCGTTCAGATTTTCACACTCTCTCTCTCTCTCTCTCTCTCTCTCTAGCTCCTTCCTTCTCTGTCGTTGCTGTAAGATTTTAAGACTGACACCTCACGCCGAGACTGACAGGAGGAGGAGAGGAGCGAACCCACTCGCTCACACAGCGCGTGAGATCGTGGATCTAATCGGGCGCTGGGAAAGGTCACCAGATGTGGGACCAGGGGCCGCGGGGTGGACCCGGATCCCGCATGTGAGCTGTGCAAATGAAAACCACGCTCCTTTTTCAGGGTGGGGCTGGCGGCCCCCTTCCACTCCCTTGAATATTCGCATCGTTAGTCTACGAATCCACGGTCTCCATGTCTACACCTCCAACGCTATACAATTTAAAATATAAATAAATAAGAGTTGTAGATTAATTGTTTACGACTGCGTGATTAACTGTCAACTGTTGAATAATATATGTAAGAATTGGTTATGATTAAGAATTAAAGTGATACTTGTAGATGCAGGTTACGTATTTTCTATCATATTTGTCAAAGATCAGAAGTTATGTGCAAATTCTCATTAAAAATTGAAAATTTTCGTTGAAATTGCTTGTTTGAAAATTTCCCGATATCTGATGACGGCTCACATGTGAAAAACAATTATTAAAGCATGATTTGTCCTTGAATTAGGTTAAGCAACAAATTAGGACCCCAATGAAATTATGAATTTATTAAGACATTGCGATAATGGTCTTAATCAAAGGGTGGGGAGGGTTAAGTTGTCATCTTGTTCTTGGAGTATAAATAGTTTGGTTAGTGGAAGAGGGTTCCTCTTTGAACCACAACTTGGTATTTTGGAAACTTGAGGTCATAGTATATGATTCTGATGGCAACTAGTTTGACCAAGGCTCTACCCAACGAGAAACTTCTTTATGTATTTACGTAACTACGTATCGATGAATGCTAAATACAATCGTACGTGTACTGTCGGCGTATATAATCTTAGGCATAATTATACTTTTGCTTAGTTTCACTGCTTTTTAATTTGGTATCAAATTCATTATTCATGATAATTAAACTCAACATGTTTTATTTACAAATAAAGAGGTATACATAAACGCAGGAAAATGAAATCCAACCTCAATGAATGTCAATGGTATTTTGGTTTATTATACTTTTACCCTATTTTGTATCATGGTTGTGATTGATATAATGAGCTGTGTTTGGTATAACTAACATGATACCCCAAAAGAAAAAAAAAAGAAGAAAAACTACAATGTGATTTTTATGCATAAGAAATAAGAGTGCAAGTGATTAGGGTTTTGCAAGATGGATTGAGATTCCCTTCGAATTTTTGTATTCAGATCTCGCAAATGGAGAGACTTAGACCACTTAATTTTAATTATACGATCCTCATTAGTCCATTACACCGATTCACTTCACAAGAACTTGAATGACTCGATTATCTTTATCTCTCTCTTAAACGGTTCAAAGATCCGGTATACAGACTCTAGACACAAAGATTCGAAGTAGATCTAAATCCTTACCAGATGTGCAAGAGTTTAATAATTTAGGGAGGTTCCTAAAGGTGACATGGATTGTTTTGATCCCTACATTGTTGTCTCCGGCGCAACGTGCTGTGCCCATCTACTTTTTTTTTTTTTTTTTCTAACACACCTTAGACGTTGGAGGAATCCTATGCAAACTATGTTTCATTTCCAACCATGTCTCAAGAGAAATGAAAAAAAAAAAAACAAATAAAAAACAAAGTAGTTTAATTAATCTGTTTTTGTAATATAAATTAGTGTATAGCAAACTTTTGCATTTGTTTCTTTTCTGACTCTTCTTTTCATCTTACAATATTGCACAATGATTCAAAACGTTTATTTTTTATGTCACTCTTTAAAGATCAACTATGCCAAAAATCAACCAAATTTGAAATCGTTTAATCATCTTACAAATATCCAATAGATAGACGAACTATGTAATTCAGTTAAACATTGAAATTTCAACAATCTTAATCAAACAGTTGACCAATTTCTAATTTTGTTTATTTTTTTTCAAACTTCATATTTGAAGTGTGAGTAAAAAAGTAAACGGTTCCAACCACAATGCAATTAAAAAAATAGAACGAGAAAGTCCGACAAATAAGGTCAGCATCCCTAAAATGGTTATATACTAATGATTTGATGCATAAGTAGGCCGCCGAATGAAATGAATTCTTAAAAACAAAAAAAAAAAGCTAGGTAGGAGCTGTCCACAAGCTCTGGACATCACATCTGTCTTGAGGTTGTTTGCTTAATTGGCACATAGGAAAGTAGTTAACTATATTAGGCAATTATTCTCTGTTATAAACAAACTGCCATGCCCTCTAACTATCACTTTGATTCCTCAAAAGAAATAAAGAAAACAAAAACTCATGACCATCTCTTTATAGAGATGACTTCTATTATTTCAATTTTCATGGTACCAATATATATTTACTGATTCGTTTTGTGCTAATAATATAACATCATATATAAACACATGTTTCTAGCAGCGGTGTAATCATTTCATTAAAGTTCTTATTGAATTAATAAGGTTTTGACATCAAAATATGGGATATGGCTACAATGTTACGTCAACAATCTAACTGTTGTAAGATCCACTAAATTCTTGTATGCGAAACTTGAACAGTTGATTTTTTTTAATCACTCGGTGGTGCGTACCATGAAAGAAAAATAACAAAGTATGAACAAATAACCAATGGTACGAGTAACACTTTGAAGGGCATGAGATTATGTATTTGATATTCAAAAGAACTTGCATGCATTTGGGACAACAAAGTTGCAGTATCACAAACCAAAAACGTAATATCATCTGAGAAATTAAAAAAACATGGCGGTTACGATAGGCTTCGAATGCCGCTACCTTATCATCCCACTTGCATGTAAGTTTCTCTCGTTGAGACATATTGCTAACAGTGAGACTTGAGTGCATTCAAATTTATCAAAATGCAAAGAGATGCTTCAACTCCCAAGCACTAATAAATTAACATTGTGGATTAACAAGCTTGATAGCTTAAAACTCACAACACGGAACTGCATCACATATAGGCCAAGCAATTGGGAGGGCCGATTATAAATGGCAAAAAGTATATTACAAACAACAAATAATATTGCTACAAATTCAAGTTTTTGTTGAAAGTACATATCCCCTTGCCAATCAAAAAACATCTTCGGGGCCATTCCGTACCATTTGCCATTATTGGGAAGTACTTTGAGAAGCTCCCCGGACTTCTGATGGCGGTGAAGGATAAGGAGGGATGACCTGAGTCAATGAATAGTTATGTCAAAGTCGGTCAAGAAGGCAGTGAAGGCAACAGGGATTGGGGAAAGACTGGAAACTAGAAGGTACCTTGATGGGATAAACTTCGGTGACTTCTTCAGTTCCCTCATCCAAGTATACAACATCCTGCATAGTTAGTTGGTGATATTCGACAATCTCCCTTAGGAAGCGGTTTTCACGTGCATAAACTGAATTTTCGTGTGCCAATCTTGCCTTTTCTGCCAAAAGGGTTTCCAATTGCAGTCTTATCTGAACAGAAATATTAGTATCAAACACAGTGCAACCCAATACCATAATGGATATAGAAAGAGATATGATGCACAAAAATTTCAATGTAAACAAGTAGATTACTTTACTGCTTAAACTTCCCAAAGGTCTCGAATATATCATATAAAAAATAACTTACAGAAGGAAGGTGGTGACCGTAAACCATACATAATTTTCACAAGTCTCAACATAACAGAAAACGGCAATGTGACAGAATACACCAAGAAACACTAGAAATGAAGAACGGGAGCAAAATGGATACCAAATCATCATCTTCAGGGCTGTCTCCCCTTTCACGATTCTCCCGAAGGATTTTACTTTCTTCCTCCAGCTGCGCACATCGCTCCTTCGCAAAAGCAAAATCTGCTTTGACAGTCTTCAACTCCCGAAGAAGAAGTTTTGCTTTGGCAGCCATTGCCATTGCAACCTGTATGCAAAAAGAAGAGGGCAAATCATGCATTTACTAATACAAGTAACATACAAACATCAAACATTATGATAGAAGGCACTATATATATAACTCCGCCATCTTAAAATTCCTTCTTTTCCCTATAGTTTCCTGCTCTCATAAATAAGATAGAGTGGGCTGCGCTAAGCCTATGGTTCAAAAGATGCTACACATGAACCCAATCGCAAGCTTATGGATGAAGCATTGAAGTCATTCGACACTTTTCATTCCATTAACTGTTGGGGCACACCAGATTCCATTAATTTTCATACACGATAGAAGAAAACTAGTAACATCCTATTAAAATATTCCAATTCCAACATTGTTCATATCCCACTATAATAACAAATGCGAAAAGTTCAACCTACACCAAAAAAAACATCTATTATATCAACCAGTAACACAAAAGTTGCCACCTTACGTCGCGAGATGCCTTCAATTGGAGTTCGAGGTCAGCTTGCGTCTGAGGTTCTGATTTTTGTCCAGAACCACTAGGCCTTTTCCTGATATGCTTACGAGTTTCTTGAATGATGTCTGCAGTCCCCTTCTCAACAATTGTACGACCCTCCTGTCAAAGGGTGAAAGGCAGACGGTGCATATTATGATCAACTAGGCACAAGTACCAATTATTGGACCAACTCCAGAGTAAGGAGACAGCTAAAGATAAAATTGCATAAATATGCACATGCAATGAATTTGTGCGGATGCAGAAACACACACACAGAGTCAATGTTCATTCTTATTAGCATTCTTTATAAACACGCCAGGATAACTGTACTACGT